ACAGGGGTGCCTGATATAAGAAATCATGATAAAAATATTTATGCATAATCTATCTTCCCTTTTTAATAATATTTTTTTATTTTTTTTTTAATTCACTGCTAATCATCTTTATGTCTCTCATTATATGAGTTTGTTAATATTGCTTTAAGTTTTGTGCTTTTGTCCTGGTGATTACTGAATGATGACATACATCAAGTGTCGAAACGTATATTATTAAAGGAAGTTATTTTTTTATGACTTTAGTTTGACGAATGGACAATTAATTATTTTTCAATATGTTTTAACGTCGGAAAGACTGTCAAGATATATATACATACATACATACATATATATATATATATATATATATATATATATATATAAAGTGATTTAAACTAGCGCATCTTGGATAAAAGTTTAAATTTATCACAAAAAGCATAGAAAATAATTATTTCTGAAGCGGTTATACTATCAAAAAGAAAACTTTACAGATAAATAAGAGTTTTTTAAAAAAAATCTAATCTTTTAATATAAAACTTTGTTAATTATCTTTTATGAAACTAGCAAATTAAAATTTAATTAATACTAATAAGTAATAAGTATTGAATTGAATAAACTTAATAGTAACAGAACTATTGGGCAAGTGTTTCGGGAGGAGCTCAACCCGCTAATACGCTAGAGACAATGAGTTTATGATTATTATATCCTTATTCTCGTATTAAATCTTATTTTGTTCAATTGTTCTCGAATCAACTTAATTTCACTAAAAAAATATAATAATCGGTCCAGTCGTTTGGGAGGAGTTCAGTTACTTAGACAAGGGAAAAAGCAACATATATAATATATCTCGATCTATTGTGTATCTATATTTATACATATATATACACAATATATATATATATATATATATATACATATATATTTGTGTGTATATATATATATAGATATCTGCGTATGCAAATAGCAATGCCGTCCCTTTTAAAAACAAGATATTGCGCCGGCGCCCTCCTCGGATTTTCCTTACGGTCTCTTTCTGGCGAATTATCCGGCCGATACTCTACGGAGCTTTTCATTGCAGTTTCTATGAGATAGTAACCCCATACGAGGGTTTTATGTTTTTTTCTTGTGTATTTCATGACTCCTATTCTGCTAAATACTAAAATATCTGCAAAATGCAATCAAGCACATTGGACTAAGTTGTTATTATATGAGTGATATCGGGGTGTGTATCTTTGAAATTAGTGCGCCCTTTCACGTTGTTAAAATAGATTGAGTATTGACTTTTTTCGAAGTTCATGAATACTTGAGTAAGTATTGCAAAGTGTATCATTTTATATATGGTTCAATAAATAAGACATAGGCTAAATATACTCCTCCATGTGATAATTTTGCTAAACGTATAGGCATGTAATTATATGTGATATATATATATATATATATATATATACATATACATATATATATATATATATATATATATTATTTATGCACATGTATATAATAATATATATTATATATATTCAATTCAAAAAAATATCAGATTATCACAATAACAAAAACAACAAAATTAGATCTATAAAATTGTTTAACCCACATACAATGTTAATGATAATAAAATTATAGAATATTAAGAATAATAGTGACTATTATATCAATGAATTTAACATTTGTTATAAACTATATGAATTCCTATATAAATTTTCCTTCGATTAATTTTCCTTGTGAAACAGTATTTGTATTATGAACAATCATACTCTTGTTATTGACATGAGATTTACATTAGTGCACAAAACATCAATTAAAATATTAATAATATATAACCAGCAAAAATGCTCTATAGAAATATTAAGAACAAGCGAAAGTTTTATCAAATGCATGCAATTCAAGCATATTCAACAATTGCCTGTTTTAATAATAATTAGTAACGGAATAATGATTTCATTATAGGAGTTATGTAAATATATTAAAATTTATCTGTATATATTATCCGAAATTATTGAACCGAATACTAAATCAGGCTAAAGAAAATGCGAATTGCCAAAACCGCAAGCAAGTATGTAACATAGTGTGGGTAATGTGACTACCAACGACAAGAAAACCGATCTATTGCGTTTTAATAATGGAACAATCGAATTATTTCCAATGAAATTCAGATTGAAATACGAAGAACACAAATTTATTGTAAAACGACCTATAAGATTTTATACCAAAATATTTATATTTGCAATTAATCACGTGCCTGTAGGAAAATAATCAGATGAATAAATGAATTTTATCAAATAGCCTTCGCTATTGCACGCCAAACAATATTGAAAATATTGAAATTTAAAAAGTAATTCTAACATATTTTGCAAATTGTATATTAACATATATATATATATATATATATATATAATTATTATCAAATTATTTTTTATTTTTTATAAAAGTTAAATTGTACGGTATCACATTAATTAGAGAAATAATTCGTTTACCATTATAACCTTATTAATATAAAGAGCTAACAATACTGATATTTAACAAAAATACATATATATATATATATATATATATACAGTAGGCCGGGACAAAAAGGTTCAATTTGACTCTAAGTAGTAATTATATTGTCCAAACCAAATAAACTACATCAATACATAACGTATCAACCAAAAACTCCCAGTTAATTCCTAATTATAGAAATGCGTTTTTTACTGTTTTTATAAAATTTGTCACTGTCCTTTTTACCCCATAGGCGGGGTAAAATGAGACGACCATTTTACCCCATTTTAAATTCAAAAGAATTTTTCGAAATAATAGCTACATTGATGCAAAATATAAATTTCATGGGGAAAATTTTTACAAAGATAACATAACTGTATATTACTTTGATCAAGTATTGTGTCAGAAATGTTCATCAGCAGATTTGGAATAACTATTAATTTAATTCATCTCTTTTAAAATTGCATTTTTTAAAACAATTTACTTTTCTATTTACTATTTTCAATTGTTTACACCTTTGCCAGGGCAAAGATTTAGTTGGTCTTTTTTATCCCACTCGCATGTAAGGGCTATATAAAGAGCTGTTGAGTCTAAATTAAAAATAACAATACATATTATAAAACAATTAAAAAACGTATACCTAAAAGTTATATTAAAGTCACGTAAACTAAACAATAGTGACGTAAACAAACACAACCAAAAACTAATAACAAAAAAATACTTTTGTTATGGATTTTCAAATATTGCCGTTTATCTTCCTATAATAGTAACGTCGTAAAAATTAAGGTGATCGGTTATACATCTTTTGTTAAAAAAGTTCTAATTTTACCTTTTTATCCGCGGATCTTTAAGCCCCGCTCTACCATATATATTTATTTGTTTAAAAAAGTTATGTTAAAAAGTTTTGTTAAAAAAGTTCTAATTTTACCTTTCTATCCGCGGATCTTTAAGCCCCGCTCTACCATATATATTTATATATTTATATATATATATATAATATATATAATATATATATATATATATATATATATATACATATATTTGTTTGCAAGTATATATTAGGCATGCGCAAAACAGTACGTCAATGGGTCAACCCCAAATAGTATAGCGTATACAAGTAAATATAAATAAGTGAAATAAGTTTCGATAATTATCAATTGCTGATAATTTTCAATACAATTCAACAAAAATAAAAGTTTTTTTTTTAATATCAGTAAATAACAATGTATTTAGTTGAAAAAATATCAATTAAATAATTTCATAAATTTTATCATTTAATTTTAAATATCTGGCGTATAAATGTTGAATACGAACTATTGATAAAATATTGAATGTTTTTTTATTTTCAATTGTTTGCTAATTATTATTGTAAAGTATCACCCCTCTGCTCAAACAATATTATTAAGTCTTCAAGAAAAGATACGAGTATGTTTGATGTTGGATTTAATTTGTATGTTAGAATTTAATTGTATTGTTCGTTTTAGAATTAATTTATAGATTTTTCCTACGTTTTATTTAATTATAAGAATTGTAGGGGTTTAAAATGTTTCTATTCTAAATATTAGAATTATTTATATGTCAGCATGACAAATTAGTTTGCAATCATTTTCAAAACAATAATTCATTTGGTGAATACATCTGATACTATTTAAATTGTCACTGTAATGTAAGTGATGATAAGAATAATGCAATTACTCGATAGATTCTTTCTTTTAATTTATCGAATAGATTATAATATTCATTTATTTATAATATCAAGTATCAAAATTTTTTCTTTTCATTTTTAAATGTCTTATCTAAACATGTGTATATACTTTGAAACAAATGCTTTGTTCGAATCCATGTTTTACACCAAAATAATCCTTAGGGATTTATTTATAGAATATATTTAATTAATAAAATAATTTAATTTATAGGATAAATGCTAACAATGCAGATAACAAAGTTCAAAATGTTAAGTATCAAAAACTATCCAGATTGGATCTCATAAATAATATCAAACGATGATTTATTTTAAGGTATGTTAATATAATTATATATATATATATATATATCTATATATTTATATATACATATATATATATATACTATATATTTATATGGGTGTGTGTACAAATAATTCTGTACTATCTCAATTCTATGCACTAGATAGACCATGTAATTTAGATATTATTTCTCGGATCATGGCGCAAATAAAAGTTGCTTGCCAAGATTTCAGTACTAGCACATAATTGTTAAAATAATGTTTCATTTATAATATAATATAGAATATCATTATATGAAGATGCTTATATTACTGTTTATCAAGTTTTTAAAGCAACTATTTGCCCGTATCATATTTTCAGTGTCTCTTTCCTACTTTATCAGTTTTTGTTAATTAAGTTTGAAAAAAAACCTTTATCATTTTTGGGTACCAAAAAATGACATTAGAAACATGTAGTAAACTGAACTATTAAAAATTCTTTATCTATTTCAGTAGGAGGTGAGCATTATGCAAATGCCAAATGTAGCTCTAAATTCTTATTACCACCTTATTCGAGTCTAAAAAACTCTGAAACCGAACAAATTAAGTCCAAGCATTGTTCGCTGTTTACTTTACCAACATGAGTTTTTCTATTGTAAGTCCTTTGAATAGATGAAAATTGTAAAAAGAATTACAAACATATTTTATAATTAATTGCTTTTGCAGATTGTATTTTTTATCAGTGTAGCAGTTTTGGCTCCAGCAGCTTGGTTAAATGATAATAATTTTGTCACAACAACACAAGATATAATTATATATGACAACTTTCGAATAGATGATAATTCTAATTCAAATTGGGTGAGTGTGACCGTATCTTCCATTCGGGTATTAGATATATAAGATAAATAGTTAAAAATTACAAAGCCAAATGTTTTTACAGAAGATAAAGATTTCTCCTGAAACCCATGCCTATTTTACAAAAATTGAAAGTAGTGATTCTACTTGAAATTATATTGAACAATAAGATTATATTCCACATTTGATTATTTTTTGTAATTAGATTATTGTGAGAACTTACAACAGATATTTCATAATTTGACGAAAATATATATTTAATTTAATGATCAAATTGTCAATATATCATCACAGACTGCCGCCTCAGATCACAATAAAGAATGGTATGATAGTTGGAGCAGATGGTCTCAATGGTCAACATGTTCGCGGTCTTGCGATGGTGGAGTTTCCCATCAGTTAAGGCGCTGCATTGCGGAACAAGGTTGTCAGGGAGAGCCATTACGTTACAAAATTTGCAACATGCAGGTGAAAAGATATAATTTTTAATTCTCATTAATAGTAATGTTTTCTTTTCCACTTTCTCGTATTTCGCATCATTTCAAATATTTCGATCTTCTCATCATCTAAATCTAAATGTATATTTTCTAGCCTTGTCCAGAATATCAAGATTTCCGCGCACACCAGTGTTCAGCTTACGATGGTATGCTCTATGAAGGTGTGCTATGGCTTTGGAGTCCTCATTATGACGATTCCGAGCCATGTGCGTTAACTTGCCGCGGTCGTCCAGCCGCTCAGGGGTCGTCAATAGATGAAGATGCTATTATGGTCGTCCAAATGGCGCCAAGGGTACAAGATGGAACGAGGTGCCGTCCTGGCAGTCTTGATATGTGTATTCATGGACAATGCCAGGTATGCATTAATTAGTAGAATAGAAGTTAATGCTATTATAAACTTTCCATTTCCATTTATTACCTTCCCGACGGAAAAAATCCGATTCTCTAATTTTATGTTTTTTCGACGTTTCAAGCCATTCTGAATCGAATGAGACCAAATTTGGAAAAAGTATGTGTGTGTGTACGTGTGTGTGTGTGTGCGTGTATGTGAACAGATTTTTTGCCGTAAATCATCGTTTTCTCAAAAACGATTGGACCGATTTCAAAAATTTAAAAGCCATTCAATGTATCTCGATAAGGACTAGCGTTTTGTGTGACGATCGGTCGAGCCGTTTCTTTGTAAATCGCAGAAAAGTGTAAAAATTTTCGTCCACGTCTTAGCCCGCAATTCTTAATCGACTTTGAAAATTCAAAAACCGTTCGAAAGATATTGGTTGGGAATCGTGATTAGTTTTTGGTAAAGATAGGCCGGGTCGTTTTCTTGTAATAAAGTTTTTTTTAAAAAAAAGTCGACGATTTTTATTATTATTATTTTGACGGTAGATACCAGTCTTCTAGATCATACTAAAATATTACAGCCCTACGACAACTCGTTTAGCTTTAAAAATTCGTCAAAATTTGCAAAATTGAGTATCGTTTTTTTGGCATTCGTCAAAATTAGACCTTTCATCAACGTTTTCTCAAAAACGCCTGAACCGATTTCAGAAATTTTAAAACCATTTGATGTATCTCGATGAGGACTATCGTTTGTCAGTTTTGTGCGACGATCTGCCAAGCCGTTTCTTTGTCATTTGGAAAAAAGTGTTCAACGTTTCGTCCACATAAGCTCATACTTCCGAATCGATTTTAAAAAATCAAAAACTATTCGAAAGATATTAGTTGAGAATGATACTGATTAGTTTTAGGTGAAAATCTACCGAGCTGTTTTCTTGTAATTAACTGTTGAAAAAAAATTAAACCAATTTTTATGAAACTCTTTCGGCGATATATATCATGGTCTTATAAAACTTACTGAAATATTACGGCCTTACGACAAGTAGTTTAATTTTAAAAATTTATCAAAGTTTGAGAAAATGAGTGGTTTTTGACGTTTGTTAAAATTAAAATTAGGCGATTTACTTGGTATAACGATAGAGAACGTGGTCTCAATGAACGATTAAAATCCTGCGGAAACTGATTCAATTATAAAAATTGTTGATTTGTGAAAATTCGCTTTTAGAAAATACTCCGAGTTGACGTGTTCGTTCGTTTTCAATTATGTGTAATACATCCACTCTGAATACTTTTAATCACTCATAAATTAATTTATTTTTTATTGATTAAATCGATTATTAACACATATCGGAAAGTTCATGTAACTTGCTTCAAGGCAAAATACCAATACCAACTAGTTAACAAATATTAGATAAATGAAATCAAGAAACAAGTTTATTTACAAAATCAATAAATAAAAGTACTGACCAACAAAGTTAAAAAATAATCTTATTTCTTCGAAAATGTGCATTCGTACTTTCAAAAACGAATCGAATATTTTTTATACTATATAAATATATATAATAATTTTTTTACTTCTTAAGATATTTTAATGATCAAAGTGTACTAAACGTAAAAAATATTTTCAGTATTTTATGATTCTATTAACACCCCAAGAAAAGTTAAAAAAAAAAACAAAAAAAGTTGAATATAAAGACTTCATTATGAAAGTTTGATATCAATATTATACAGTTTCAATAATTTCTGAAGAATCATCCTGCGACAAAATAATTTTTTTAAATATGTAGTAGCAAAGTAGGAAGTCTTTATAGAATAACTTAATTTATATTTCAGCATGTTGGTTGTGATTTGCGAATTGGATCATCTAAGAAGGTTGATGTTTGCGGCATATGCGGCGGTGATGGAAAGTCATGCGGTTTACCGCTTTACCATTGGGTTCTATCAACAATGTCCCATTGCTCGGCCACTTGCGGAGGAGGTAAATAATGTTTGATCAAAAATACATTTTACAAAAATATTAGCAGAGGCAATTGCAAAATAATTATATTAAAATATATTTCAGGTTACAAGATGTCCCGACCAACTTGTAGAAATCGTGTTACAGGGGTAGATGTAGAAGACCAATTATGCAATGAAACTCAAAGACCAGATATGCAAGTTATCCAGTGCAACATGATTAAATGTCCTGCTAAGTGAGTCAATTACACGTATAAATATATTAAAAACATTAAAAATATGATTACTAGATTAAAGAACTATGCAGGATTAAGACTATATGTAATGACTTAGGTTACCCACATGTGAGATTATTTTACTAGTTGAACTATTTAATAAACATATAAGTGATATTTTATGTTATACAAATAATTAATATTGTTAATGATAGGTGGATGGTCAGCGAGTGGGGCGAATGTTCTGCATCATGTGAAGGCGGCGTGAGAATAAGAGTTGTGAACTGTGTGGAAGAAGATAATGGAACAATAATTAAAGTAAATATATTTTTTTCACATTAACATTAGATTAATAAACTATAGAAATTTTCAATATATAATTAATAGTAATATACACCCAGAAAACAATATACATATTGTTATTTGCAGGTTCCAGATAGCAATTGCAGGTTAGATCGTCCGCGAACGCAGGAGCCCTGCGGCCTGAGAGGCTGCTCACGTTGGGAAACGCGAAATTGGTCTGGGGTAAGCTTATTATATTTAAGGATATTTTTTAAAGAGATAATTGACTTTTTGTCATATACTATAAGTTTGATAAAGTTTTGTAAAGTTTACTTATATTTTACTTAACAAAAAATATATATAATAAATAGGACGAAAAAATTACATTTATTGAATTGAATGAGTTACAAACTGTATTTGTTGATCACGATCAAACACTTACACAAACACCGTGTAGATGAAGATTTCAGAACTATGAAATGTTTTTAATTGATAATTTCCGAAGAAAATGGTTGTATATCAAATATAATTTTTTTCTTCCTAAGTGCTCTGTTTCCTGTGGTTCTGGAATTCGTGTTCGCGGAGTGGAATGTGTAAATTTGGATGGAGCTATTGATCAGAACTGCGACGAATCCAAAATGCCAGAACGTATGGAAGCATGTAGTACGGGAATTGCATGCCCTATACAACACCATCTCGAATTGGTAAGATAATGGAACATTTTCAAATATATATTTTTATTGGAATATTTAAATAATAAATGATGATTTTACTTATAAGCAAGATATTTGAGTTTATCATATTTACGCTCAATTTTAAGGACATTTACTTTATGTTCACTCACAATCTAATTTTTTTTCTAGGATAATGAAAAAGAAAAGGATCGTTCATCTAGTGCTTTGTATCATACTCAACCATTAATTCAATTATTTCCTCCTGCTGTAGCGGAAAGGCTTATGGCAAAGCAAGCTGCACCTTCAGAAGCAACGTAGGTTTTCAATTTAAAAAATAACTTTATAAATAAATTCAATGCCATTACATATAAAATTATATTCATGATATTTTGTATGATTTCATTTATAGCATGAATATTTTTGGGTTTGAATTTTTTAACATGTGTGAATGGTTATATCAAATATTTTTCAAATCTCTTTCAAAAGCAAAAAGAAACGATAGTATATTGAACCATAAAATAAATTATAAAAAACAATAATATCTTATTGATATTTTTGCTATTCAAGGTCTTACGTGTGTTTGTGTCTACGTATATACAGTTTCATGATATCGTATTAATCAAAAATAATTAGCTTATCAAAAATTTGCAAAATGGTTTCAAACTTTATAGGTTTAAAACATCAAATTTTATAAATAATCGATAAGTTCCAACAATTTGCTTCATCACAAGATTTATTTGAGTATTTCTCTGAATATTTCAGATTTATAAAAGACTATCAATGGAGTGCATGTAGCGTTACGTGCGGAGAAGGAGTTCGCCGTCGCGAGTTTCACTGTAAAATATTTCTAGAATTTTCTCAAACAATAGCAATTGTACCAGACGAAAAATGTCCGGGCATAAAACCATTACCAGAGACCGAGCGATGCACACTAGAGCCGTGCTCATTTGCCTATGGATTTAGCGATGCCGCCTATCCTAACGATTTGCATAGCGTCCGTGTTGCCGGAACCCCCGGTAAAACGTATTCATGGCAAGAACAAGGCTACACACATTGCAGTGCCTCCTGCTTGGGTGGTGTTCAAGAACTTATCATCAATTGTGTACGTGATGACACTGATAAAATAGCTTCACCTTACATGTGCTCGCCCGAAACGAGGCCAGAGAATCGAATCCGAACATGTAATGATCATCCATGTCCGCCACGGTGGAATTATTCTAATTTTCAACCATGTACAAAGTCTTGCGGTATTGGCATTCAAACTCGTGAAGTTAATTGCATACACGAAGTAACACGCGGGGGTGGAAATACTGTCGTAGTTCCTAATAATATGTGCCCACAGCCACCTCCTCCCGACAGACAATACTGCAATGTATTGGATTGCCCTGCGAGGTGGAAAATTGGTGAATGGGGAAGATGTAATAAAAGCTGTGGAGGAGGTATGAAAATGCGGCATGTCAGTTGTATGCAAGTCATGGCACAAAATCATGAAGTTGAAAGGCCTGCAAGCGCCTGCGCTACCGCCAGACCACAAGATAGAAAATCTTGCAATAATAAAAATTGTGTTTCCTTAGATAAACCGCACATAGCAATGAATAATAGTTCTTTTATTCAGCACGATTTAAAACGCAAAAAGGTTACGTTAAAAATCGGAGGCGCTGGTACGGTATTTTATGGGACTCACGTTAAAATAAAATGCCCAGTCAAAAAGTTTAATAAAACACGTATACTCTGGACAAAAGATGATAGTCAAATAACAAAGTCAAACAAATATCGAGTTTCGCGAAAAGGCGTCTTACGTATACAGGAAGTCACATATCGCGACGGTGGTATTTACACATGTATCGCTGGTCAGTCATATGCAAAATTTGTGCTGGCAGTGAAGACAAAACCGGGTGAATACAGTAATAGCAAAAAATTCGATGCCGGACAGCATCGAACAGGTGATAATCAAGCTAAACTGTTATATCAACCGGACGATGAAAGCAATAAAGAAAGCAATGAACCAAAAAGTCCAAAACCGCAACGTACAGCTGCCAATAGGATAGTTATTACAACAATTTTGCAATCTGAAAATAGTACAGAGGTAAATATACTTTAGAATTAAGAGCATGCGTAACATCTATATAATGCTTCAATACTTAAAAAAAAAATCGATACTTATATATACATATTTTCTTTAATCTTTTATAATAATTAGTTTTTATACATAATTTTACATAATATTGCATATTAATTTGTAGTCTGATAATATCAGCTGAGTATTTATAAAATTAAATTGTTAAAAAAACTAACGCGGTTTGAAAAAGGTTGGAAACCACTGGTTCAAGTATTTATTGACTCGCTTTATTTATTACATATTTAAGTAGCACTAGCAAAATATACAATATTTTATAACAAACTTTATAATATCCGTAATTTTAATATATTGCACGTAATCTCGATATATTGCAAAATTTTTACTATGACTGTTCTGCAAAGAAGAAAGCTCTTTCGTCACATATTTTCGAGCAAAACGATGGTAGCGACACAGCAGCACCCGGAAACGTAGCAGTCGCCGCAAGTTCAGCTGAACGCCCTGTGCCTAATATCAGCATGCTCATTTCCACTTTAAAGGCAAGTTAATCGTTATAATGTAACTATCGTATTGTTATATATATATATATATATATATATATATATAATATATGCTGATATAACTAATAAAGGTTTCTTTCAATATAGATGCTCATAGCAAGTGAATTGGCTCGACTACTTGGCAACCAAAGCAATTATGAAAATAGTAGTTAAATTTAATGTATCAACCAATTCTGTAATAAAGTACTTCATTTAACTCAAAAATTGTAATCAATTTAATTTAAAATAAATTAATATCTACGCGAATTATTATTTTATCATTCGTCGTTATCTTTATATCTTCAATAATACATACATACACAACCGGTCAAAAGTTGGGTACACAATGTTTATGAAATGTACAACAAACGATGGTTTTCTTCGTTCATTGTCTTTTATTATCAATATTTATGAAAAAGTAATCACTGTAAACAAAATATATGTCAACTCACAAAAAAACCTCGTATCTATATTTTTGCTTCTCCGAAATATCCGTCTTTTGTTCGTATAACAGCAGCGCATACTCTGGCATCTTTTCAATCAATTTATGCAATGATTTCGTCATTATTTCATTCCAGCGATTCTTTAGGAATGTCCAAAGCTGTTTTGTATTAGTTGGTTGCAATTTTCTCAATTGTCTGTCCAACTCGTCCCACAGCAACTCATCTGGCGACTGAGAAGGTCATTCCATATATTTGAGTTCTTTGCCAGCAAGGCATCCCCAGACTAACACTGATCCTCCACCATATACAGTATATAAGATTGTCAAATATCTCCCTTCCGCCTTGCCTTTTTGTATTATAAACCAAGAGCAAAAAAGCGGAAGGGAGATATTTGACAACCTGATATATATATATATATATATATATATATATATATACTTTTCAAGTAGGCATACATACAAATAATGAAAATAGATTCCAATTTGACTCTTTTTCTGTAAAAAAAATATTTTGGTACAAACACAAAAAAATATAATCAATAAAAATAATACTTTACAACAACCCTGTTAGTGTAAAAATAGAGAATACTGAATTCGAAAAATCTAAATAATAAGATAGATAATAATTTCGACCATCACGCGACGAAGGGTTGATTTGATTGTCATAAATTGTCTACTGAATTTTGGGCTGTTATCGGCTGTTATTAAATTTTTTTTTTAAAACTGTTTGGATCTCAAACAATTATTTAACCGATTATTAAAAAAGACATACTTAAAACAATTGATTTAACATAACTGTTAAACAGATATAATTGAAACCATTCAATAAGCCGTATAAAAAACCACTATTCAACCCAATAAGAACTTTGGGCTTGCAAAATGTTATTAAAATCTTGATATTTATAACATTTGCTATAGTGATTATTATATGTGTATAAATTGTATATACATATATAGGGTAGGACAAGGCTTAAAGGTCTGCAGATAAAAAGGTCCACCACCGATATCTCAAAAACAAGTGAAGTTAGGAATTGTTTAACCAGCCACTACATCTTAATTATTACGACGTCGCTATCAAGGGATAAACGGAAATCTTTGAAAATCCATAACAAGAGTATTTTTTGCGTTTTTAGTTTTTTGGTATTGAGCATTATTATTTAGTTTATGTGACTTTAATATAACTTTTATGTATATGTTATTTAATTGTTTTATAATATGTACCGTAATTTAGACTCAACAGTTTTTTATATAGCCTTTCTAAAAGCTTACATGTGGGTGAGATAAATTAGACCAACTGAATTTTTATCTTGGCAAGGGTGTAAACAACAAAAAATAGTAAATAGAAAAGTAAATTGTGTTAAAAATGCATTTTTAAAAAATATATTTAAATTAATAATTATTCCAACTCTACTGATGAATATTTTTGAATCTTTGAATAGATATGCAAATTTTATATTTCAATTTATATTTTGCATTGAGTGAATAATATAGCTATTATTTCGTAAACTCCTTTTAAATTTAAAATTAAAACATTGGATCTGTTTGCCCTATAGCTTGCCCCTTTTTTTACCCAGCCTCTGGAGTAAAAAAAGACCAATGACAAATTGTAGATTTTAAAGAGCATTTCTTCATTATAATGCACAGTATTTACTTAAGACTTACAATGCATATTTTCTACAAAAATATAGTAAAAAATATACGTTTTTTATACAAAAATGTGACTTTTAGTCATTTTAAACTGTCATAGAGTTTGCATTTGTTTATTGATGTCGATATATCATAGCTCATACGTCTGCCTCACATTAAATATCCGTATATAATTCGAATTCAATAAATCCTTTCCAAATAATTATGTTACGCGAAGATATCGAACAGCTTTCGCAGTACTACCAGATCTATGCAAACATTTTAGAGGGAAGAGAGCTTTTAACGGCCGCAGTGGATACATATGCAGTCATTAAAATTGGCAGTTCAAAGAAACGCACTAAAGTTCAAAGAAAAACTGATAGTCCATATTTCAATGAGGTCACTAGTTCTTATTTAATGAACGCATATAGTAATTTATACGAATAGGAAAATTTATTGAAATGGAAGATGAATATTTTATGTTTTTACATTTGAAAATGGTCATTCGGGCATATCGTGGTCATTTGGGCATATTCTACAAGCAAAATATGTAGTGGTTTGTGAATACTTGGGTGCGTATATTACGAAAACATATTAGAATAGAACTGTTCTTTCAAAATTTCTATAGTTTAAGATTTCTATAGTATAAGCTTGGATAGTTAAAATAACATTCAGTGACTATTGACAACCACAGCCAGAGAGTGGGTGTGTGAAAAAAGCGAGGACAAAAAATATATCAGCATAACTTTCAAAGTTCATATATTAAGAATTCTTAAAATAGGGTTTTAAAACAATATGCAAAAATATTTTGAACCTGTTGATAAAATTAATACTATAACAATGATTTTAACTGTTATACTAAAAATAAGTTTTTTGACAAAAAATCTAACTTTTTAAAAAAATTCAAACATTTTCAAAAAAAATCAAAAACTTTACAGTTAGATGTTTGGTGAGGGAGGGGGGGTAATTTGGAATATCATCATGTATCACTAAGGGGGAGGGTGGTCCAAAAACCCTTAAAAACTCGCTAAAGTGATTCATGTACGCCCCCTTACTGCTTCATGTGCTAATGTACTAAAGAAGATGAAACGATTTATTTGTGTACTGCTTTTTTAAAAAATAGCATCTCAGTATTCTTTACCCTATTTGTCATTTTTCCGTTGCTTTATGAATAAAATGGTTTTTGTGATAGGTTGCATTTTTCTTTAATTAATATGTTTTAGTTCGAACTTAATTCAATTACTTTGTTACGGTAGTCAATGAACCAAAGAGTAGAAACTATTAAGATTGGTCATAATATCATTACAAAACAAAACATCATGCCATTTTGTCCGCACTTCCCCTAACTAACGGGTTTGGTCATTCCTAAGAGTAAAAAAAGAGAATTGAAAAAAACATAAAATTTAAGATCTGAGAATTAAAATCGATTAAGCAACTCGCTATATTTTAGTTTTTATCGCAGCATTTTGTATTTGATATCTACACGACGTTGGACAACCTCTTGCGAACCCCAATCACTTTGAATGTACTGCAGAGGACCTTCTGCATGAAGGGCGATAAAATTGTAGGAAGCGCTACATTGGATATTGCTTCTGTATGGAAACAAAGTAGTTAAGTACATTGAAAACAATAAATATTATAAACAGTATTTTATTATTTATATAAAACACTACGTAAAACGATTATAATAAAAAATAGTGGTATATAGCATCGTGCCTTTAGGCAAATTGCAGGAATTCTCGTACCAAAAATTATCTTTTTTATAAAAGATTTTTTTTAAACTCCGAAAAAATCGATTTTCGAAAATTTTGAAATTTTTTACTCAATCTCTAAAACCGCCAGACCTGCCTTCCCAAAAATTTAACCTGATCAGCAAGTCTCCTTATCAATATTTGAATATTAATTTTTGAATCATTCAAATCGGTTAAACTGTGTTCTCGAAATCGTCGACGAAATTATTGTATCCGCACACACACACGTACACACATCCATTTTTTCTAATTATAAAGCATGCCAAAATGCTCAGAAACCTTTGACACGTAAAGATACATAATTTTTTTTATTTTCGATTTCTTTGAGATCACTATAACTCACCCTAAGGGAAGTTAATAACGAAAATTCTACTATGCTTAATAATTGTTTTGTTCTTACGGCTATTACGGCTATACGGTTGTATTAGTATGTGAAAAGATATATAATAGCACAAACAAGTTTGTTTTTTAAAACTTCATGGAGTAATTCAACTGCTTTCATTATTTTGAAAAACGGCTTAATATGTGTAATATAGTAGGTAACTAGCTATAACATCTGATTATAATATAACAATCTAAATTCTATAATTTTAATGTTCATTAAATAAAGCTTTGTTCTTTGGCATTAAGACTTAAATTAAATTGACCATATTTTTCCAAGTCAAAACCGGAACAGTAATTTTTAGTTATGTTAATCTGGGACGGAGAAGGAAGGCCTATGCTAAAAATTTTAATATGATTTGAAAATAACAAATACTATTTAAGAATGCAATAAAAATTTGTCTTTTTTAATTGAATCAATTTTTTTAAATCAGAATTACTGAATAGGAACTTTATTATTCGATTATATGTTATATTTTATCTTATATTTTTGGCTCTACATATTTTTTCAGCACTTAAGCTTTCTATAAAATTTTGTTCATGTATCTTCATAATTATTTAAAAATGATAAGCGCTTATTCCAAGTAGTCAAAAAGTACATTTTCATATTTTTTTCTGAAAAATGAAAATAAATATAGTTGAACATAACATTTTCAGATATTTGATGGGTAGTTGTAATTTTATTATCAAGTAAGATCATATAAGAGCGGGACAAATATTGCTCTTAGAAAAACCCGGGACACAAGGTGGAAATGCGAGACTTTCCCGGCTAAAACGGGACGTATGGTCACCTGACTTAAACATATTGAATAAGATAATATTGAAATAACATTTACTAGAAACCAGTTACTATACCAATTTAATAATAATAACTATTTGAAAATAATCCTTTTGATCATTGTTTCTAATAGATCGGCAGTTCTATCACAAGTGGGCTGTCCTCAGTACTAATTACAGCGGAACCGTTAGACCCG